CTACCTTCGTTTACATAAACTATTCCCCGGAGACACCACAATACCTTGAGTAGAAACGTTTTGACTTTTTTGACTGGACTACAGCTTTCACAGTTTAAACGAAAAAAATGCAGAGCCCATGTGAGGCATTTGTACACCATAGAACAAGTAATAGGTTTATTCCATGCTGAAAAGAGAAGAAAGATAACAACGTTTCGGCCGTGGAGCCTTCTTCAGGTGTCAAATTTGTATACCCTGTCCATTGTACCATCAACAATATTGGAAAACCTTCTAAACCCTGATAGTTTTTGGACTCGCTCAAAAGAATGATGTTTAAACTTCTGGAATATCTGTTTTTGACTGATTTAGGTCAGTATGATCTGTTTTTGATTTAGCTGCATAGAGAAGGTAACATAAAAGCCTGTTAGGCTGAAATATTGTAAATGCCTATGTGCTATAGCTAGTAGGTCCTATGGATATACTAACTGAAAAAAAGAGCAAATAGGAAACACTTTGAAAATTATTTGAACATTACAATTATTAATATTGTAATATTGTAATATTGTAATCCCATCAAACACTACTTTGATGGGCAAGGCACTTGATTATATAAAAACAGCCTGGGAAGGTGATTAGTGACCATGCTGTAAACATGTTTGACTTTTATCTGATATTGTTGTTTTGCCACTTCTAAAACAGAAAAGCTTGCCATCGAAGTTTGTTTTAAGAGTAGAGGAGGGCTTGGAGCTCTCAAACACTAGCCATTCACAACTGATGTGCGCCTTTTGAAAGAACACTAGTTTATTAATCAGATCAAGAATGTTGCTTGTGCTTGATTGAATCAAGTGTGCTTGATTGTAGACTGTTCCTGACAAATCATAATTTTATGTGAATGAAAAATAATATAATAAATACTAAAAAAACATAAATTCAGTTGTATAATGGTTTGCTTTACTGGTGTATAACTGGGATTTCCTTAATGTTTAACAGGTGAAAGCAATTTTGATCTATGAAACTATAGAATCCGTTATATCCTTTATGCAGGAAAGTTATTATTTTGCTATAGTTTAGTTTTATATGAAATGTATAATTTGTTGATGAAAAGGAACAACGCAATGTGAAAAAGTAAATCCTTTTCCAGTTGATACATTTTAAGCTTTTAAGAATGTTGTTTTTCATCAGCATTGTCATCAATCAGATGTGCGAACTGTGGCTATCTGCTTGCCTTTGGTGTGCTGTGTTATGTTAAATTAATATTCACAACAAACAATTCTTTTGTAAGAATATATTGTAACTGAAAAGACCTAACTTAAGGGTCTCCGGTAGACACCACTTTCATTTCTAATAGAGGAATTTTATGGAACAACTCTGGATAGTGGGTGACATGGTGGCACAGTGGTAGCAGAGCTGCTTTGCAGAGCTTGGGCCCTGGGTTCAACTCCTGTGGTATATCTGCATGCAGTTTTTATGTTCTTCATGTGTGTGTGTATTTCTTCCATCTGCTCTGGTCCAAAGACATACTGGCAGGTCAATTGACTTCTGGGAAAACAGGCCTTGGTGTGAGTGTGTGTGCCCAAACACCAAACCAAACACACACTTGCACTGTTTGAAAGAGACTGGCATCCTGCTCAGGATGTATTTGGCCTTGCACCCATTGTTTTTGTGGATAAGTCTGGGCTCCTCTGTGACCCACTATTGAAATTAATGGTTAGAAAATGGATGGATGGAACTAGTGACTAGTTTGAATTTTAGTGAAGCAGTAGTTCTACAATAAGTACAATGTATAGTATATTTGAGATTTTCCTATAAAGATACTTTTGTAAGCTTAATATGCTAGGTGAATGCTTGCCCTGATATCACAACACATTTTATACCTTTAGATGTTATTAATTAACATGCTTTCCAGGAGAGTTTTATTGATTTGAGGAGTTTTGTGGCCTTTTCAGGCAAAAATGTAAGCTCTGTGCAAGCACATTGCACAACTATAAGCAATTAAGGCAACTATAATGTGTAAAGCGAATGTTATTCCATATGAAACCAAGCCACCCCATCCCTGTTGTTCCATGATGAGGCATGAGAGCAGTTATTAGAGTAGTAGTTTCAGCTGATCTGCCACTAGAGGTCATCAAGGCCTCTATTGTTTGTATAGACAGTAGGTTCACCTGTGGCATATTCATTGCTTTATTAGTTAATTGTGAAGGACTGAGAGTCACATTTTCACATGAGTTTAGTTTAGATTGTTTGCTATATAAAGGGACTCACAGTGGCTAGTGGAATTGGGTGGCCATTGTGAAGACATAACCAGAGTGTAACTGTGAAAAAGATAGCCAAAAAGAAAGGGGTTATTTAAATGTCAAAAGAAGATTTCTCATCTCTCAAAATAAAGGTGAAAAGAAAAGAGCTCTCTGAAAAGCAAGCGGTTTTCAATATACACAGGTGACAGACACCTAGCATTGAAAAGTAAGAATCCTTTTTGCTGTAAATCTATAACCAATTTTAATTCTTTGTCAGTTGCTAAGCTACTACCCCAATATGACCTTGTGGTGACCTTTGATAAATATTAGTTTCTTTAAGGTCAAAAGCACCCCCTTATTTTCTCTTCAACTGGTTTACAGTGATGTCTAACAGGATACTGACATCCTTATCACACACACACACCCGAAGAAGGCTCCAGAGCTGAAATGTTGTGTTTTTCTTCCCTTTTCAGCATGTAATAAATCTTTACTTGTTCATAAATTTAGCATACAGGTATGTGAGCAGAAAAAATAAAAACTTCTGCAAAGACTTCTGCTACTGCTTATATGATTTTATAAAAGCAATCTAGTATTACTTTGTAAATGCATAGATACATTTCCATTCCTTTATTTTCCTTTCCTTGAATGACACTGAATGTGCTATCACAGGAATCAAAACCATCTGGAATAAAGGTGTAACCACTTAGATTCTTTTCTAAGTACTTAATGCATGCAGTTCTAGTTTATCTCCATTCTGAAGCACTGAAAACCTTCTTTCCCTATGTTTGTTTTGCAGAGTGTGATTGTGATTGATCCCTTAACTGTAAATGAGGATAATATCAGACCCGCTCTTGAAAAGCGACTGGAAGCCATTATCAGCGGAGCTGCTCTGCTGGCTGACTCCTCCTGCACACGTGATATTCACCGTGAGCGAATTATCACTGAGTGCAATGTGGTGCGACAGGCTCTTCAGGAACTCCTCTCAGAGTACATTGGTAACGTAAGTGTCACCATTTTGAGAGATGCTGTGCTAGTTTTAATTTGACTTACATTATGTGTTGTACAGGTAACCAAAAGTAATTATTTTCAGTAATATAATCTATTTAATGACAAATGAGATGCAACACTTTTGAACATTGATATCAATTCTCACTTGGGACTTTTCAACACTCTTCCTATGTTGCTTCAGTCAGCTGCATGGCTGGTCAGTTTAGCTAGTCATGGCTCTCTTATTCCACACTTTGTGGAGCTGATCCTATAACATCAATATAGCACTGTCTGGTCTTGTATTGTTCTGCTGGAACTTTGAGTATCGGATTGAGTTCTCAAAGCAATGGAAAAAACTGTTTTTTGTCTTGTCTGTTCTATTAAGGTTGCTCTCAATTTTTTACCAGTGGGATTCTTATGTTAAAGGAGGTGTTTTCCCCCAGCAATTAGATTGAACACTGTAACAGTCAGTGTAATTCTAACCATGACTTCTTCATACAAGTTGACTTCTGTTATTTTTGGCAGGAATAAAGTTATACTTTTCAGTGTATAAAACTCTGATGCTCTTTACTGCTACTGTACATCAGAAGTTCTTTGGATCAAGATATATTTCATGTCAGTTACTCCTGAACAGCCTCTGAGCTTGCAGATTATTTCATTGCAGCTTGGCAAATGACAGTAATTCTGATACTTGGGATATTTCTTCATGGAATTCCTTGTGCTGCATCCACTGCTTTCAATGCTGTGGTCTGTCCCTCACAAAGATGGTTTTCTGGTATCTTTAGGCTAGTCTGTAGTATATCTCATTCTCTGTTAAATATCAGACACAACGCCATCTATTATAAAAATTTCAACAATAATGATTTTCATTACTGAAGTGGATCATGTTTGTATCTATTATTGTTTTTTCATTAACGATACATTAATTCCTTTGAATCTTTAATTGTTCTTCCAATAATTCTATAGAATTTGTCTTTTTGAGTGGCCGCTTTATCCTTTCTTACTTCATGTTTTTCGTTACATTGTACAGTTTTAATTTGTTAAAATTGTTTTTGAAAGGTTTTCATCTACAGTTCCTGGGCTGAATTGACTTCTGCGAAAGTGATCAGGATGTCAAGGCTGAGAGTTTAAAATTGTTTTTCTAAATGAATACTTAATCCATGTTCATAAGAATGGCCTTAAAATGGCTTAGAAGAATGTTGATCGACTGTAGGAGATGTTAGCAATCGCTAAAATATAAATTGGCAGTGCATGAAGCAATTGGGCGAGTGGACAGTCTGGTCCTTCAAGTAGCTGAGGAATGGTGGTGGACACTGTCTTAGATAGCAGGGAGATTTGAAATAAGAAGGGAAGGAATCTTTGTTGATGGAAAATGAAACAAGGTTTTTCTCTCACTCTCACTTGAATAAAGCTCCACGGCTGAAACATTTTCTTTTCTTCTGTTTTCAGCATGGAATAAACATTTACTTGTTCTTTATAGTCTTTATAGTCCACTGAAAACTGATTAGGACTGCTGTCCTCTTATATCATGGACTATGCTGACTGCAGGCATAGACTGAATGCCCAGGATCTGAGCGAAGAAGGTAATCTCAGTGATGCCTTAATTTCCTCAAATATATCAGATTAATAAAATGCTAAGGGATGTTAGTTTTTTTAAGTTTTTAGATGAGATAAAAAGCAAACAGGTCATCAGTACTGATTTTATTTTTTCTGATGTTAATCTGTTCATGTGATTAATGAAAAGCACTTCTGCTGAATACAATGTTCAGTAAACATGTCCAGAAACATCTGGACTAAGCTTTGTCCCATTTTTAAATCAAACTTACTAATGTCAGTGTGGGTGTAGCTGTGCTATTTGCAAAGGATTTTTACCCTGTTCTCTTAATGTCAATGAGGTAGTTAAATTGTGCCTACTTACAGTTCAGGCAGTAGTTAAAAACATGCCTTTTAACTTTATTAATGTGTATATGCTCTCACTGAATTAATTTCCTTCAGAAGTTAGAGCTTTTATTGGAATGTAATTCTGAAGTGTTGATTTTAGGTAGGGATTTTAATCGAACTGTTAATTACTGTGTGGATAAAAGTCATTTAAAACTACATTTACAATCTGTTAAATAGCTTTTAAGGATTCTAATACATTCTCCATTAATATGTGGCAGAATTTTAATTGGATACAATGCTCCTTGACAAAAGCTTAGTTTTTAGACATTTAAACATTTTGAATCTTCTCAAAACTATATTTACCATTTTAGTGTTTTTTATTATAGTTCGGCTGGTTAGATCATCAGTTAATAAATACTGTTTTGATGACCATTTTTTCTCACTTTTCTCACTTTTATGTTAACAAATTCTCAAGTTTCAGATTTGCTTAATGGGATTTTAAGAAATATTTTTTCTGAGAAAGGTAAAGGATACATAAAATAACTTTTTTACAACAATGGTGGATGTTGGAGAAGTGTAGATTCAATGTTTCTAATAGCATAAATGTCAAAAAAGCAATTAAAGGAATTTATGTGAGTGTGAGTCAGAGATGCTAGAGTTCTAGTAAGACGGAGACTTCAGCTCCACAGACTGATCAACTGATCAAGTCTGAATTAAAATAAAAAAAACCTGGGCTATCAGATTGAGCACAAAAGTACATTGGAAGCTGGTGAGATTGCACTTCCAGATGTGTTTAGAGAATGTGCCTGCAACCAATTTCTTTGGTTTGGAGAAGATGTGGGCAGAGTATAGTGATACATTTCACTACATCTCAATACTGTAGGTAAGAAACCACAGGAATGTAGAGAGATCTACAGTACGTGCTGGCAGTATATTCTTCTGTAGACGTGTACATGGAAGAGGCAATGATAAGTCTCAATGGCTCCTTGAGGACTTGCCACAAACATTGGAAAGGTTTATGTTTGTGAAAAAAGGATTGTATAGGGAAGACTTACAGTATTAGCTTCATATACAGGCATTTTTAAATGTCTGTGAGAGGAGTGCAGTGAAAATTGACTTTGAGTTGCAAAAGGGCAATAGAAGGAATGGGCAACCAGTGTCATTGCTCCGTGCTCAATTACAGGATATTCCCCAAAGCCATTGAACGACTTTGATAGGAGAGATGGTACATTCTGATGAGTCATAGTACATTCCCAGAAGGTTTGATGATATATTTTTATTTGGTATGAAATGACAGTCACAAAGCTCTATGTTCAATCATGTCTTTAGACAAGGAGAGAACATCTGACAGGTAAGATACCTAGCTTTTATAAAAAGGGTTTTGTCAATCAAATATCTTGGATTTGATTTGAGCTTTAAGATTGTTTGATTTATTGTACAATTTTTGGTATTTTAGAAATCAAGGATTTGATGAGCACCCTATCCCCAATGAAGTGAGGAAATGAAGAAGCATGCTGTCTCTCATACTCCCATGCTCTGTTAAGCATTAAATTTAGCTTCTGTCTTAAATGGATGTTCCACACTTTCCACTTTTCATATGCATTATAAACGTACTTGTTTTATTTTATACAAAAGAAGACATTTTGTTTACCCATTTCCATTGTCATTGAAAATAAGTATTATTATTTTCATTTTTATTGGTTATTTGTACTTGTCTTAATTAGAGTGGATCTCCAATCTTTTCTTTGTCTTCTTTCTGTTCCATCATGTTGTGTTGAATTACAAGCCTGACACGCCTCTGGCTTAAATGGTGGCTGATCTGCTCATTGAGAGTATCAGGGGGTAAAATCTAGGTTATTTAACCTCACATTCATGTTGTAATAGTCTTGTCTTGGTCTTGTGGTAAGTATATTCTTGTCTGTGTGAATTACACAGCTTGGGTTTGAGACCATCTTCTTTAAAACTGCAAGTAAGAAATTCCCTGGAGAAACTGAGTTTATTGTATTTATAGAATGTTTTGTCTTTTCTCTTTTGTAGCATTTTTTCCATTGCACAAGAACACTAAGTAAACGCAGTTTTTGCACATTATTTGTGTGTCTGGCTTATATATTTTGCCGGGTGATTCAGTCACAACTTCAGAAATCTTAGTACTGTAGATTTCACTACTATGAATATTAACATGAGGAAACTGCCATGGTAGGTGTTTGTTGTTATATTCCACTTAGCTCTATATCATACTTTATATAATTATAGCCTTGTAATAATGTAAATAATTTTACTGCTTCTGTACTATGATACTTCTATACAATTCATGTAAACAGGCAACTTGGCAGAACTGAAAGAGCAGAAAAGATAAACTGGCTTGTTTCCAAAGTAGAAAAATTGAAGCTAAAATGGCAGGTTTCTAAAGATCTTAATTAAATTCCACTAAATCTGGATAATTTGGAACATGCACCCATGTTTCCTAAAGTTCCTTTCCAGTCTTTTTTAGATTAAGATATAGTTTCTTATCATGTCCCAAACATGATAATCAGTGCATACTGTGATTTTTGGTAACAATTACCAAATCATTTGTACTCTGAAAAGCAAGACAAGCCATTAATATTTTCAGAATATAATAAACATCTTCCTGTTTTCAAACATTTCATTATTATAGGTACTGCTGTATTAAAGGGAGATTGGAATTTCTTAATTTCTGTTTTTCCTACATTCGTGCCTCATTTGTTGACATGTGAACATCAAACAATTAACACCTGGTAAAAACTAGTTTTTGACACATATCAAGGAGGCTATTTGTACTATCCATGTTTTTAAGGTATTTATTTCTTATATATTGTATGTGGTGTGAGAATTTAATGCTTTTATTAATTTTGATTCCTTTGCCATACTAATGAAGTAAAAGCAAGTATCTTTTGAAAGGGTCTCTAAGGACTTAAAGAATTAAAAATACAGCAGCCTCTTCAGGCATCACATCAGATACTTGCTCTTGGGACACCTTCATTGTACTGAATATACTGAAGTTCTAACAGCAGTCACACCAAGTCCAGTCAGTGTTGTTGTTTTGAAAATGCAAAGAAAAGAGCAGTAATTGTTATTGTAAAGCCTTTTTTTTCAGGATTTGCGCAAGTGAGA